CCTTTTGGTGAAAGTCTACTCGATCTCATCCTGACTTGTAACAATTACTCTACCTTCTATCATGAAATTTATACAAACTCATTACTTATTAGTTTATCCATAAGGAAAAACTCCTCAGTAATAACTACTGGGTGCATGACTGCAACAACATAATTCGCCTCATATCACTATCTTCCTTTCTTAGATAACTATACCTCTGCATGCATTCTTTTAACTCTGCGCACTTTTACTACTAGGACTTATGACATTATAAGTCATACTATCTTTTTGAGTGAAAATATTGTCCAAGCTCAACATACTTCGTCATAAGAATCTCAATCGAAACAAGGTTTAGAGAAGAGAGGTTGGAAGTACATCTACTTTTAGTTTGTACGCACAATTCATATGAATAAGAGTACATTCTTTTGAATGTCAACATAAGCTCACACACAGGTTTCTCTCATGCTCCTGTATAATCTTCTGACTTTCTAGAGACTTTTGCTCACAATAAATCATCGATAAGTATTTGGGATTTGATTTTCAACTACCTTGAGTATGATGGGTACTTGAATGGATTTGAGAAAGACACGTGTTTGATCAAATTTCTTATGACATGATTTTATTGCACGATTTAGAGTATGAAAGAAGAGAAATTTTTCTTGAATGTGTGTAGTTCCTCATTTATATAAGTAGGACCCTCACAACTATAGGTAAAATCCTACTGACACGACTTCATATCCACCCTAGGGTACTTTAAATCTATGCTCATCTACCAACATTGCCAAACTCCGACCCTACATCCTAGACGTGGCCGATACTCGACAACCATTTTTGGTCCCCAAGAAAACCTTTGGGTTGGATAACTACATAGCGGATTCACTCAAGAAATAATACTTAAAATAGAATAATTTAAACTCAAATTAAATATCCAACTCATTTATCTTTAAAATACTAGATAATATAAGTATAATAGTTTGCAAAAAAAGCAAGGAAAAGTAGTACTGAAAGACTCATCAACTTTATCTATCTATGAAGTCTCCAATGTTTAAGATAGGTTTTAGGATAAGACCCATGAAACCTTGAAACTACTAAATTTAAAGTAAATGTGAAGTCCTCCGAATACAATGAGGTTCACTAAAAGCTAACTGGAGAGTAGAGTGATCTCAAGGAAGCACATGTTGATGATCCTGAACACTTTTATGTGCATCATAAAAGGATATAGGTCAAATGTCATCAGTACATTTGAATGTATAAGTATGCAATATAACTAAAAAAATAAATGTATGAAAGGGATACAATAGACATTACATAAACTCAACAAATTTAATGAACTAAAGGAATGAAATTATTTGATCTTTACAAAAATATTACTTATCACTGACACTCAACATAATAAGTAATATATAAAAATACATTTTAACTCTATTGGGACATTCTCTAACTGACAACCATCACAATGATACAACACCTTGTCCACGTTGCCTGAATTATCCTATATGGGATATAGGACACATCAACTAAGTGGATCCACTAAGATCATCCAAAGGTACCAAGGATTCACCTAAAAAAGTATGATTTTGCACCCAATAATATATACTCTTTCTCAAATGTATAAAAACATTTCTTTTTCTCTAGTTTGAAATAATTTCTCTAGCAAGCCTTTTAAAAGAGTTATATGCTTTGAAATATCTCTACAGCTCATTGCTCATTTAGAAAACAATGTTCTCTTTGTTCAAAGTAAAAATACTTTCTCTTTGTTGAGATATACTAAGAAAAAAAAACACTCTTTAAGAGGTACTTTCTTTGTACTTAATTTTTCAAAAAACTCTTTTAACTTTTCAGAAAAAAGGGTCTACTCTTTCCTCATATAAAAAAAACATTTTGGATGTACTTAGTTCTCTTATACTTTTTCTTAAACTCCTCATTACTTCCTCAAAATTCAGTTTAAACAGTAATATTTTGTTTAAAAGATTCTCAATGAGAATTCAATGAATACTCAAGTATAAAGTTCACGCTAAAATTAGACATGAACGAATCAACTGAAGGATATCAATAACAATATAGAAAATTCAATACTCAGATTTCAAGAACTCATAACTCAACGACATTCCTCATCTCAAGAATACTCAAATCATAGAGTTCATGATGAAATATAGACATGAGCCAACAAACTCAAGAATCACAATGCATAACATATAGGAATTTAATAATTAGGAATAATATTTCCAAAAGAATCAGGAACTCAAGAAATAAATATCAACTAATCTCAAGAAACTAAAATTAAGGATAGAATCCCACATTACCCCTTTATTGATTTGAAAGTAAATGTATGGAATGTAGAAGAACTAGTCTAACACTATGTTTGCAAGAACGAGGTTTTTTGGCAAAATTGACGTGACTCGAAGAACACTTGAACCCTAATTTTTCTTCTCTTGGAACCTCGTAATATTTTGAAGTGTTAATTAACGTAAAAGAATTGATAAACACTTTTAAGACCTTAATTAGGTGTAAAACACCATGGTTTAGGCTTAGAATATGGGTTAAAATGTTGTAGTTTAAATTCCAAATGTATAGGACAAAGACCAAAATGACCCCAACTTTTAAATTTGACAAAATACCTTAAATGGGAGGTTTCACAGACAGTTAAGGTATCCTGGTCTGTTAAAATTCATGGGCCGTATTGATGGTCGTTGAACTTCACTTGGCCGACAAGGCTTCTCAAAAACAGACATAACTTTTTTTTCTAAACTCAAAATGAGGAAAAATTTGATGGTTTTTGAAGGATTCAAAGACCTTTATGTTAATATGTCATGGACCACCTAATTCATTATGTCATGAGAGATATGATTGTTTGAAGTTGACTCAAAATATAAAAATTGATGGGTGACTTGTATGGACCCCCAAAAGGGTCGTACAATTATAATTTTATGAGTAGAGCTGTGTGGTGTTATAGAATGATTTGTTGTTCATCTTGTATTTCAAACATACTTAGAACAAACCTTTGAACATCTTTGTAAGACAACAATGTTCAAGAACATTTTCACTACTAGAAAATTAAAGCTATCGCGCAAACAAGAATCAAAAACAGATTTTTTAATAAAATATACGAAATATTTTTCTTAAAGAAGAATTATTGTTAATATGTGTGTAAAGAATCTTACTGATTCCAACAAACTTTGCAGAAACACGAAGTTACCAAGTTTAATGAACCAGTGAAGAACAAAAGAATAGAAGAACTGAAATTAATTCACAATTCTAAAATTTGTAAAACACATAATAGAATCTGGAAAATTTTTAATAGGAAAAAGATCAAGTCCATTGAAATCACAGTGTCCCCTTAAGGAAATTATTCCCCTCTAGTATCCGGGGTTTGATTTGGAATATGGCCTCCCAGAGTAAAAGGATCTCAATCACCAGAGTATAGATACCAAAACTCCTATGTCAGCGAACCACTCAACGACAATAAAATACACTTAGAATACTAGATTTAATAGTTGAAGAAGAAGTCCATGAATTCTATATTAAACTGAGAGGAAATCCCTTTATTTATAGAAGAAGGGTAGTACAAAAAGGTTCTTATTGTGCCTTATCGGAAAGTCACAAACCTTTGGAAAAGTCACAATCTTTCAGAAAGGTCGTCACCTTTAATAAAAGTTAGAACTGTCCATAAAAATCGCAACTTTTCATAAAAGTCGCAACTTTTCATAAGAATCACAACTTTTCATAAAAATCGCAATATTTCATAAAAGTCACAACTCTTTATAAAAGTCGCAACTCTTCATTTTCCATTCACACTTCTTTAAAACCCAACATGATTCGAGTCTGGTCTTAGAAAATTTTGATGTATTACAGTCACATCAGGTTATAATTGATACCTAAATTGATTCAACTAACTGTCATTTTTCTTTTGGAATTCAATTTTCTATTATTTTTTTTGGTCGATGGCCCATTTTCCAAAAAGATAAATCAATAATGTTGAAGTCAAATGATCGAATTTCATCTCAATCTATGAGGATGAATGCATACACTAAAACCCTTAATAAAATAAAGTTTTTGTTCCAATTTGATTCAGTTTATAGAAAATACCTGATAATCCTTGAACAGCCAAACATGAATAATTGGGGTTTTTAGGAGTATGCATTGGGTTCTTGTGTTTTAAAAAATAAGTCAAAGTATTTTTTTCATGTTAAACGAATACTCCTATTTACTAGATATAATATAACAATAAATCATTACAAACAGAGATAGCGACATTAATATTTGGCTTAAAGAACTACAAATCAAATTGCATGACGACCTTTTGAGCCTAGAAAGAGTAATTCATTCTTTGTCTACTTTTGGAATTCATAACAAAAATAATATCGGGTCTATTAATTAGGAATCCAGAGAAGGCGTGAGGGGAAATAAGGAGTCCTTAATTAGGAAACCCTGCATTAGTTGGATTTATAGGCTTACCTAGTGGGTCTATCATGTTATATTTGTTGTCCTTTTTAGTGTTGACACTCAATTTTGTCCCTCTGCTAATTAAATATTTTTCAAGCTTCTTGAATTTCAAACAATTTGAAGTAATTATTTTGAAAAAATCAAAAAAACTTTATTTTTATGGTGATTTTCCTTTTTCTTTTCCTATAAAATATATTTCTATATACTTGAAATATAAAGATTTATATAGTTTACAATATATATTTAGAAAATCATTTTACTAAAATGGTGTTTTAACTAAGTTAGAATTTTTTATTTAAAAAAAAACTAATAATAATGAAAACCTAATGTGAAGATGATTGTTTTACTTTGTCTGAATTAAGAGTGTTAATAATTAATTGAAAGCATAAGTCATTTTGTTTTAAATTTTTTTCATCTTATCATTTTCAATACCAGGGGTCTTTTTTCCTTTGAAATCAAATTGGGCCTTAGCTTTTCAATGAAAACAAAAGAAAACTCAAATTCTTGGCCCAATTCACAAGACCAGGCCCAAATAACTCCTTCACTTCTCTGCTCTCAATTTCCCTCATCAAACAATAACACATCCGCAGCCTCAACAACGTCAACCCATAACAAGAGCGAAACCAGAAACTCCAGCAGTACGCGACTTGTCCAAAACAGCCATGCAGTGCGCCCATCGAATTGAGTCTCGCACGTGTCTCTCTCCCTCGACCTGATCCTCTTGAAAATTGGAGGACAAGGCCAGGTGTCTCCATCTCCTTACAAGCTCGTTCTTGGCTAAAAATCAGACGACTCTCCCCTCTTTAATTTCTATTTGAAAATGGTATGAATTCGTACACCCTCCAGCTCACCCACCCTTATCTTTGCTAATTTTTGAATTTGGGATTCTCCCACATAGTGTCTAACAAGAAATTTCCCCAAAACTCTCTTATATAAATCCCTTTCTTTTCACTGTTCAGAGGAGGATTTTCGGAGACCAAAGAATACCCAAAAATTTTTGGGAATTCTTGGTTCCACAATTAAAATTTTAAAACATTTTGTGGCTTTTTGAGTTAAAGAGGTGGAATCGTTTCCAAACTCGTTGTCCCCATTTGCTGCTCAGCACAAAGTAATCACATATATTTTCCTTCTTGCTAGTTTAATTTAATTTTCTCTGATTATTTTTAGCATTATGAAGGGTTTTCGTCTGCATATTTTTTAGTTATCTTGTTGGCTTCTTGTCTTCATATTATGATTGGTAGTTTAGTGTTTTCAATATATTAGATTGTCTGTGTTTGATTATATCCACAAAATCTTGCAGGTTTTCTTCAACTCTATTGGAAAATTAGAATACCCCTTTTGTTTGATTGTCAATATTTACAGTAAGTTGAAATTAGAATACCCCTTTTGTTTGATTGTCAATATTCACAGCAAGTTGTGGATGATTAATGTTCAAGTTTGTCACTTTAATCTCAGAAAATGTTTTGTAGCTTTAAAAAAAATTATCCTTTCGTTTCATGGTCTCGCCTCTTTCACTTCCCACGTCATTTTGTCCCTCTGATGGCATTATTCTATCTCCTTATTTGTGAAATTTGGTTTGAGATGATTAGCTTTTCGTAGTTGTGTTGCTTATATGGTTGTTGATTAAATTATGGTTGGACTGGTCATGATAGTTCTGACCAGTTTATTGTGCTTACATGTAAGTGTTAGTTGGGTGTAAATGGAGCCAGTAGCAGCTTGTTTGGATTGTTATACTTACTGTTTGAATTAGTTTTTTGGTTGTTTCATTGTTTGTTTAAATTATGATCAGTTGGCGACTGAAAGGGTGCAAAACTCTATGTTCTATAACCTTTGTGCCTCTTCCGTGTAATTGTTTAAGTTAGAGTATGACATTCATAATTATTTCCATTGCACTTCGTTACTTGCTCAAATTTCTTAGCAACACCATGTAGTTAGGATGACTACGGTTAAGTTACTTTATTAGTTTTAAGAAATCATATTTTATTACTTTAAAAATATTGTTCACTGTGTTTTGGATTTTTACATGATGATAACTAGATCGTTAATTTGACTTGATATTATTCATATTGAGGTTCTTATTTTACTCTTTTCTTTTCCTCCTTTTTCATGAACACGCTTTCCGTGAATGAGTCCAATGGACTCCCTTCTCTTGCATTTTCCTCTTTTTGAGTCAACCTTCTTCGGAGTTGTGAAAGGGAGCTAATATTATTCGTTTGGACACCCAAAAATACAGCAGCAGCAGTAGCCTAAATGGCTAAAATAATAGCATTTTATCGTACTTGAAAAGTCCCAAAAATTGCAGTAATTGAGGCAGAGTTACGATAACCTCAAAAGGCTGAAAATGAGGAGCAAATTTGGGTTAAAATTCCTAATTAATGAAGCAGCAGCAGCAGCCTTAGAAAGGCTAAATTTTTTTTTTGAAAGTTTTGGACTTTCAAAAGGCCAAGCTAAACGGCAGCAGCATCAACCTGAAGGGCTGGACTTGGGGGTGAAATAAAATTTCAGCCGCCCCCTCGTTTTCTTATTCTCTTATTTGCCTTGATATTAGTATATTTTCTTTATTATATTTGATTGTGAAAAACTAACAACTTTAAAATTCTCTTCTTGACTTAGATAAAATTCCCACGGAGCTCCTCGAGTTTAGTTTATCAAATCTTTCTTTTGTATCTTACAATTGGTGGCATTTCAAATTTTCATTTATTCTTCAAACCCTTTTTAAGTTTGATAATTTAAGCTTATAGAATGACTTGAGAACATTTTTGTTCTTTCATAGTTGTTAAAAAGCTTTGAATCCATGTTTTGAGTTTGAATTAACTATTTAATTCCTTTTTTGAGCTGAATGAAATTGTTAAGTTTCTTAAAATATATATATAAAAATATAAGTTGTCTTATAATTTAACTTAAGACTTTGTATGAATGACTTAAGGTTTCTATATCCTTTAACAGTTGTTAAAAAAAGTTCCTTAATCCATAATTAGGAGTTTTGAATTATTCATATTGGTTCAAAACATTAACATGGGTAAAAGCTTATGTTAGGCAATTTGAGCTTCAAGACTAATTTGAGAATTATTCAATATCCTTTCATAGTTAGTATTTAGTTTTCAAATTCATTCTTAAATTATTTTGTTGATTTTTCAACTATAAAACTTTACCTCGGATAAAATGTTTAGTAGAAATTATTATTTTACAGTATATCATTTGACTTATTTCATACTTGGAATTAGAGTTGTCAATATGGGCTAACCCACACCATCCGGGCTAATCCATATAGGCTTTGACATTTTACGGGTCAGGACGGGCTAGCCCATTTTTGGCGTAGGGCAAAAATGGTCGACCCAACCCACAAGTACGTGGCTTGATGGGCCAGGCCACTTTTTTAAAAAAAATATATTTTTTTATAGTTGTTAAATTAAGTTTCAAATTATAATTTAAAATATTATCATAAATTTCGACAAAACAATAATACCTGATGTTAATGTTTGTACTTGTTAATTAAATCAAAATAAAATTATTTTTATAATATTTATAGAGATAATTTTAGAGACCTCCATGTTTCGCTCTTTAATACTCACCTCCCCTTTGGTTTACGATAATACGTCTACCTCCATTATTTTCATTTACTTGTAACCATTCTTTAAAACTATTTAAAATAAATATAAAATTAATATAGATTTGACAATTTTACTCTTTTTTAGATAAATTTCTTCTAAATAAATATTATATAAAAAAAATTTATTTAACAAATACTTTAAAAATAAATTAACACAAAGACTTATTTTTTTTAATCCAACAAAGATCAAAGTCTTCAACTAAGCTAACCCACATTTTCACCAAATATTAACTCTTATCTCTATTTCACCTTTACCAATTCACGTAAATTTTTTCCCCATAACCCATCATTTTGCGGCAACAATTTCTTCAAATAAAAGACAAAATTAAACTACCCAAGAAAGAAATTAGATAAGAACGATAAGATTTTATTCTAGTTAAATATTTACACAAGCTAAGAAGAAACATGATCCAACGAATAAAGATAAATCATTGAAAATTAGATCTAAACATTCATATATACGGGTAAATTTATCAAATGTAAATTAATTTATATTTATTTAAATAGGTTTAACGAATGGTTAGAAGAAAATAAAAATAAGGGAGGTAGACATAATATCGTAAACCACAGGAAGGTGAGTGTTATAGAGCGAAGCCTGGAGGGAGGTCTCTGAAATAATCTTGAATTATAAATATAAATATATAAATAAAAATATTAACCTAATTATTTTGAATTTGGACTCTCTTAAATTTTAAATTTTAATATTATATTAAAATATTTTAATTAATTATTATTGGCCCACGGGCCTACCCTACCTATATTTCTCAAGCCCATCAAATCAACAGGCTTATTCACGCCGGGCTAAAAAACCTTTTTATTCAATGGGCTTCAAAATCTAAGTTCAACCCTATTAAATCTCGGGTTAGGCCAGGCCGGCCCAACGGGCTTAGCCATATTGACGGCTCTACTTGAAATAAGATTAGTGTACAAGTGTCAAAAAAATGTAGTTATTTTAAAACAAGATTTTTTACAACTAATCTATGTTTTCTTTATAAAATTATCCAAACATTCAAATTCGTCGGTAAATCACGTGTTTGCGGATTCTCTAAGATGCTTAAACCCTTCCTTAGAGGATTATTTGAACCCTTACCCAAAAGTCTGGTTTATTTAAATATTTTTTCGTTAAAAAATTCATTTCGAATGGTTCTCTTAATTTTTACCTAAAAATTAAGTGGCGACTCTCAAGTTACAAATTATTAAAAAAAACTTTAACAAAAGTTGCCGAAGGTACGAAATCAACTTCGAATGTTTCATTTTTCGAAATCAAGTCGCAACATTTAGTTGTTTTCTTTTTGAATGTTAGGCTAAGTGTGGGTTGGGCCATGCTCACGCAAGTATAAAGATGTGTAATTTGTTTAAAGTTTTTTAATAAAACATGAAATTAGCTTAAAGGGGTCTCTTTATTTAATTTCAAAATTTTTAGCACAAATAACGGTGGGTTTCTGTTTGTTTTAAATGTTATGAACACAAATAATGTGTCTTTTTACATGCTTTTGGAGTTTTAATACATATACCATACATTTTCTTTGTGTGCTTCTAGAGTTTTGAACACTAATAATTTAGGGTCTCTTTCTCTGCTATCAAATTTTTTAATACAAAAAATCTGAGGTTTTTGTTTGCTTTTGAAGTTTTAACACAAAAGATGTGGCTCTTTGCTTGCTTTCGGAATTCTTAACACAGATAATGTGAATTCTCTTTATCTGCTTCTAGAGTGTAACATTGATAATGTGGGGGCTCTTTTTCTGCTTTAGGTATTATTAACTCAATCAAAGCGGAGTCTATCTAGTTTGGTAAAAAAGATCATCTTCATTAGCTTATGGTTTAACGTTTAAGATTTCAATGGTTTAGTTGTTGTAAAATGGAAACATTAAATTTGCAAGATTTCAAAAAATAAAATTTGTAGAATAAACTGTATTGATTATCATGACATTTTAGAATTTCATACAATACTAATTTTCTACACGTGCGTTGAACATGAATGCCTAATAATATAATAAACAATATTATAAAATAAATTTTGTTTGGGTTAATAATTTTACATATATGACGAAATAAAGTACAAGTTTTAATGAAAGATCATGGTGGATTGTCATATTGTTACTCATTTGTTGATGTCAAAATTATTGAATTTTTTCCGAACCTACAAGGATGAATTTTACACTGACGCCCATTGTAAAATAAAATTCTTTTTCATTTTATAGAAAACACACAAAAATCGTTGAACCGTCAAAGGTGGATAGTTTAAAATTTTGAAAGTGGGAGTAGGGGTTCCAGTGTGTCCAAAAAAAAACTTTTTACTTTTTTATTAAAAACTACTCCAATTTATTTATTCATATAATATAATGTATCAGTTAAAAATTAAAGTGGCCACATAAGTATTAGCATTTTTCTAGTCTACGTAAGCTTCCATAGTTTCTAAAATAAATCATGTGACTCTTTGCTTACTATTGAAGTTTTTACCACAAATAGCATGTGTGTTTCTTAGTTTGATTCTACAGTTTCTAATACTGACAATATGAGTTATCTTTATCTGCTTTTGATTTCTTAGTACAAATAAAAAGGTCGGGCTCTTCATTCTGCTCGTAAACTTTTTAACACAAATGATGTGTCTCTGTACTTGCTTTTGATTAATACAAATAATACGGGTTCTCTTTGTCTGCTTTCGAAGCTTCTAACACTGATAACAAGAGGTTTCTTTCTTCAGAGTTTTTAATATGAAAAACGAGGGGTGCATCTGATTCTCAAAAAAGGATCTTAGTATACATGTGACTCTAAGATATCATGCATAGGTTGTGGGTGGGTGGGTGGGGGGAGGTACTAATGCATTTTAGGTTTTGGGTGGGTGGGTGGGGGGAGGTACTTCTGCATTTTATAAGATTTGCAAGTTTTTTGACAAAATAAATCTCGTAAAATTAATAGTATAGAATATTTTGATATTTAAGCATTTAATATATTACTAGTTCTGAGCAACCGGACTCCTCCACCAGAGACTTTCGGTCTGGAGCTCATTCCCAGTGCATGAATCGAAGGTGCATTGCACATGTATGCATAATAATATAATGCACATTTTTATAAATAATATCAATATTATTACATAAAGTACTTTTGAGTAAATTCTTTTACATATATGAAGAAATAATATATAAATTTTAAATAATGGCCAATGTGGATTATTGTATGGTTACTTGTTTGTTGAGATGAAAGTCGCTGAATTCATCTAAACCTCAAGGATTAATGAAGTTCTCATTCCGATTTTATTGAATTTATAGATAGTAAAATAAAATTTCTAAATGTCAAAATTTGATAGTTTGTGTTTTTAGGTGTTGTGGTTGTGGTGAAAGTAGGGGTGTAGTGTGGTGGTGCTGGTGGGTTTCTACTGTTTTTTAAAAGTAACTCCAAGTTTTTTTCCGGCTAAACAACTAATCATATTCCCTACATTTTATAATACTATGCATCGTTACAAACATAGGTGGTGGCATTAATACTAGCATGAGTCTATTCTGGCTTAAAGAATTAAAATCCCAAATTACATTACAACTTTTAACACTAGTAAAAGTTTCTTTGTGTGTTTTGAAATTTTTAACACAAATTATGTGGGGTCTCTTTGTCTGGTTTCAGAATTTTAGCTCAAATAATATGGGGTTTCTTTCTGCTTTCGAAGTGTAAAGTACAATTAATGTTGCTCTAACTTGCTTTCAGAATTTTAACAAAAATAATGTGGGTTCTCTTTATCTGCTTTCAAAATTTCTAGCACTAGTAACGTGGAATAGGGTGTCTTTGTCTAGTTCTAGAGTTTTTAACACAATTGTTAGGTCTGTCTCTGCTTCTAAAGTTTTTAACACAAATAATTTGGTTGTTTTCTTGTTTTTATTATAAAGAAAACTTAGAATATTATAATAATAAAAAGAAGACAAGAAGTATAAGATAGAGGAGAGAAATTTTCTTATTCAAGTGTGTCTTTCAAATGGTGAGTGAATCTCTATTTATAGTGTTGAGATATCACCCCAAAAGTCATCTAATTAATCTACACATATTTTT